CCCCAAAACCCCAAAACCCCAAAACCCCGAGTGACAATTATTTGAAAGAATTTAAGGTAAATAAATCAATACAATAAATTTTAAATATCAGATAGAGCTAAGATTTCAAATTTAAGTTAATTAGAATATTCTCATTAAGATATTTAACTTCCATAAAACTTTTTGTTAAATATTGATATTGGTAATAAATTAAATATACTAAAAAATAAGTCATTACATCATCATTAAAACATTCTCAATTAATAATTAATTTAACTTATCAATATAAAAGCCTTTAAAACATCTACCTTGATAATTACAAGAATTAACACACATGAAAATTAATTCCTAGCCATAATAGACCTTGGAGACTCCAAGAGCTAATGCAGATGATCTAAACTAAAGCGCTTAAAAAAGAGATAAGACATATAAGTTAAGAAAGAAACAAATGAGATGTAGAAAGAGATTATAAAGAAATTAATAGTAAATGGAGGAAAGATTATCAGCTGCCAAAGACATGATGAATTCATTTGTGGGGACTGTCTGTGAGGCTCCTCACCATCTAGTTGATAATGAATTTATCAGGCATGGATATAGAATAGGTTATGATAATTCTGTGGGAGCAATATTTAGGTCCATGTTTCACCTTCACAATGAGTTTGTTAACGTATGGAGTCACTTTTGTGGCTCAATGTTCTTCATCGGATTGATGCTGTATACTCTATTCTATCTAAGCAGCATGAGATCAGGCATAGAAATAATTTAAAATGACTTTGATTAGCACAGACATCATGAATTGCCTCACTACTTCTAGAAATAACTAATTGATTTGCAATCTGAGATTGATTATATGTATTCCTTGAATGGAAGTAATTCAAATTAATCTTAGGATGACAGTATGACCTATCAATTAAGGTATTTATCTTAAACTTACTCTATTTAGCAATGATAGCAGTTAGCCGGAGACTATTTTCCAGAAAATGATTTTGAGAATAGAAGGTTTATCGTAGTTGTTTATTTAGGAACTGCAGAATGCTTAGCACTTCATTACAGAGGAGGAGCACATTATAGAAGAGAAAATACATTACTGGAAGGAGCAAGTTACACATTACCCTCAAGTTTTGAGAGAAAAAATAAACGTTGTTCAGGCTATGATGCAAGAATAATTAGATTTGGAATCAGAAGAGCATTTCCATAATAACATCTCCTACTCAAGGGTAAGTATAAATCTCTAACAATTCTCTATAGTTAAATTATCTACACTCTGCGATGGAAAATTTCTAAAGCAAGATGATTGATTTCTAACATTCAGTGATGGGTCGAATAGATCAAATGAAATGGCTTGACCTGCATGAGACATCTAAGCCAATTGAGGATGTGGATTAGTATTTAAACTATGTTTCAAGATGGCCTTTGTTTGCTAATATGGCATCTGCTGCTATTTGCATGGGCTTCTCTGCAATATTCCATTTATTTTTTGTCTACTCATAAGATGCTTGCTCTTGGCTAGCTAGACTTGATTATGCTGGAATAACAATTTTGATATTTGGAAGTGCCATGCCAGTTACCAATTACTTATTCGCTTGTCCAGAAGTTTCCCGTAATTTTTAAAGTTAAAATAATTCATTTACTAGATATAAGAATCATTTTCATGTGCATCTTATCTGGGATGAGTTCTCTTGTATTTATTGTTTCAATGGTCCCTTGGTTTAGTCATCCAAGTTTAAAAGCGTTAAGAGGCACAGTATTTGGAGTTTACGCAGTATCAATTTCTATACCCCTATTATATAACATGAATTTTTAGTAAGCCAAATATATTAACTAATATTTGCACTTTAGTGATCCGACCTATATGCTTCAAGGAAAAGCAAATGTTTACATATTTGGGGGATTTTTCTATCTGATTGGTGCCATATTGTATTCAACGAGATTTCCTGAAAGGTGTAAGCCAGGTTAATTTGATATTTGTGGTCAAAGCCACTAGCTTTTTCATTTCTGTGTGATGATAGGGGCATCGATTCACTATTATGAGAATTTGCAGGTGTTTTATCAAAGATAGCAGTTTTTTTGCCCCATAAAATGATGATAGATAACTGTTTTAGCTTATGAAATTCTAGATGCTTAGCTTTAAAATAGATTATTTAAGTTCGATAATAAAGGTATTTAAATAATGATGATACATTTCTTTAAATTTTATTTTCGATGATTTGAGGGGTTTTGGGGTTTTGGGGTTTTGGGG